AAGCAACTATAAAGCAAAAGGCAGATATTTTTTTCTCCTGCATAGCAGTATTGGAAACTAGATATCTCAAACACTTTAATCTAGTTATGTCATAAATACTGTTAGTAACCTAAATCTCTATTTTTTTTCTTCTGTACTGTAGCACATTGAGTGCCATCTTGACCTGAGGGGCCCATTATCCTTCATTACATCAATCATCATTTTATATACTATATAGCAATACATTTGCATCATGCTCACTCTAAAACTTAGTATAGTTGAGCCTAATTTTCTTATATTTAGATTTCTTATGTGCAGGGACCTGACCATGCCTGGACTTTTTGACTTCAGCGCCATAAACAGTATTTTTTCTTCTGCTGTTTTTCTCTTCTGACTGGAAATTTACCTGGAAGTCTTGAAAACAAGCATATTTTAAAGTGATCTTTGAGAGGGGTTTATATAATATATCCCCCAATACAGATTTTATAATATATAAAATGTTTGAAGCTTTCTAACATTCTTGCTTGTAGCCGTATTGCAATTCTTTTCCTAAAACAAATAAACAAAGCATATCCAAGACTGCTAGGCAGTCAATATATTTTAATTCTAGTTTACTTTTTTAATGTGGTATTAATTTGTAAAATTAATTAATTTGGAATTAATTTGTAAAAAATATTTTTGGAAGAATATGAAGTGTTTTTGATGATTTTTTATAAAGCCTCCAGTGAAATAGTCAGTTTGTAATAAACTGGTTGGGGAAAAGAATATGGAACTTATATTTCCATGTGCTAAGTTCAGAGCTGATAGTCATGGATGTTACTAATAGTTGAAGCAGTTGCTGCTACATGTATTATTACTAATAGTGTTTACACACCTGTGACAATCACACAGTATCTTCCTCTACTCTCTCTGGCACAAAGAGTTGCATCTTCAATTATCTTTGCCTGGATTGAATCCACTTTCTAATTGAAAGTAGAAATTAATCCCTCCAGAAATTCATACAACTGTACAAAACACTAATTGTTCCTTTGGGGGACTAAAAATCTTCTACTTTCTGTTTTTCACTGCTTAGAGGAAGTGGAATTGTGCTTCTCAGCCTGCCTGAACAAACAGTTCTAAAATCAACTGTGATTGGCTAAGTATATGCAGAAATGAACAGCAATGCATGAATAGCTTGCTGCTGTATATCCTGTATATTAGGCACTTCCACATTTTAAATATGGCTCATCAAATTGCCTGTAGCGTCAGAAACAAATGAAGTCTAATTGATTCATAAAAGTAATTGTTAATTGAAAAAGAAAATAATACTAACTTTTGGGCAGAAATTACTTCCTGGGAGTCATAAAGGTAAGTTAAATCAGCATTGAATATTGGATGAAATTAATTTTTGATCAGGCCATTCAGTCTTCGGATTCTTGTTCTGCCATGAAATATAGTCTTTGGTGTTAAATTAGTTGTGTGCTCACTAATTTAATTTACAAGATTGCAACCGTGAAAACAGAACAGAATAATTTTCATATGTTACCCGGTAGTAGAATATATTTGCTCTTTGCATATGGAATAAAATCAGATAAGTTATATGGGTTTTTAATGTATTGTGTCATGTGATGGAAATGCTATGTTTAAGCACTGTGCATTTTAAAATGGGAAATGTATTATCTAGAAACCTTTGTTTTGAACAGAAGTTATGTTGGTTTTGAGTTGGGATAGATAAGGATCTTAGCCAAGTTACGTTGATTTTAAGTTGGGATGGATAAATATCTATCCCAACTTAAAACCAACATAACTTCTGTTCAAAAGAAAAATTTCTAGATCATAATTTCTCTATTTTAAAATGCACAGTGCTTAATCATAGTATTTCTAACACATGACACATTAAAAACCCATATAATTTATCTGCAGTTCTTCCAGGTTTGATGCTGAACCCAAAGGTGAAATCTGTTATGATGTCACTGGAAGCTAGATGAACCCCAACCCTATTTTTTTAAAAAAATAATGTTGCTTGTTTTCTGTAATGATGGAGTAAATACTGATTTTTTTTTTTCATGAGAGATATGCAAGCCAAACTTGGTCTTCTCCCCCCTTCCCCAATCTTAAATTATTTGGTTACTGTATGTTTCATATTTGTACTGTTTTTGGAGGAAGATGGTACATGGTGACAGGATTTAATAGAATGTTAGCTTTGTGAGGGCAGAATGACTCTAATTGTTACTTGTTTTTTAAAAAATAATGTGATGATTTATACAGCTGCCTAATGATTAAGAGAAAGATTATGTAAATAGCACTGAAACCTTTTGGAGGAAGGATGATAAAAAATAATAATAATTAAATCATATTGGTACAGAAGTGGCCTCTACCTTGCCTTAGTTTTTGAAAGCTGTTCATTGTCAGTTTAATGAAATCAAAAGGGCTTGGTTTCCAGATTAAATGAAGTATTATATTTAGATTCTGTGGAAAATGATAAAAATCCATTTTCCACTATAATGTTTCCAAAATGTTGTGGATTGTGTTAGTGGCCAAGTACCATTAGCTAATTAGAACATAGGCATATGTTCCTTGTAGTTAAGGTTTTGAATTAGGATGGAAGTCCACCCTCACCAATATAAATTCATTGACTAACTGGGCTGATCATTCTTGACAGTCCAACTTATCTCACAGGGCTGTTAAGAGGAAATCATAAAGAAAGAGAATGTGACATATGCCATCTTGAATTTCTGGAGAAAAGGATGGGATGTAAATCTAATGACTTCATAATGTCTCCACAGAAGTATAAAACAACAACACAGACACTGTATTGAAACATTATTTCAGATGAAAATACATGACTTAATACTGTACAGTAATGCAATACATTTTTTTTTATTTTAATACCTCCCACTCAACCTCAGTACCCTCCAAAAACCTTGGAAGGTCATTAACAAACAAAAACCTTGGAAGGTCATTCCAACAATTAATTTGTTCAACCTGAATCTGCCATTAAGAGTTCTTCCTTGAAAGAGATGGACAATCTAGAAACACGAGAAATAAATAAATTCGAAGTATTCCAGTACTGGTGAATATTATTATAAACCAGAATGGTTGAAAAATGTTTTCTTAATAGGAAATAACTGTGAAAGTCCCATGAGTTTCAGCATGAAGGAGCTTTTAGAATTAGAATTTAGGGAAGTTTTAATAGTAGCTAAGTTCTAGTCCCTCTTGAGGAAGAGATTGTTGGTGTGTTTCTGGAAGAAAAAAAGAACCACTTTTTAAAAAACAAATGCAGGTAGTCTTCAACTTACAACAATTGGGACCAGAATTTCTGTTGCTAAGCAAAGCAGTTTTCGTGATCGATTTTAGTGCCTTTTCTTCCATAGTTGTTAAGTGAATTGCTACAATTGTTAAGTGAATGTTGACTTTGGCTGTAAGAAACCAGCTTGTTAGAAGGTTATAAATAGTAATCACATAGTCTAATATATTGCGACTATTGTAAATGGATGCCAGTTGCCAAGCATCTAAATTTAGATCATGCGACCATGGGGATGCTGTGATAGCAATAGCACTTAGACTTATATACCACTTTACAGTGCTTTACAGCCCTCTCTAAATGGTTTACAAAGTCAGCATATTGCCCCCGAGAATCTGGGTCCTCATTTTACCGACCTTGGAAGGATGGAAGGATGAGTCAACCTTGAGCCTGGTGAGATTTTAACTGCCAAATGGCAGTCAGCCAGCAGTCAGCAGAAGTAGCCTGCTGTACTACACTCTAACCACTGTTCCACTGTGGCTCATGATGGTTTTA